ACTATGTTAATAGCCTAAAGATCCAATTTTTAAAAAAAAATCAAAGTTGGTTCTTTGCCCAGTTGTCTGTCATGTGTAGACACAACACTGATTCATCCCTTGAATCAGGTGCTTTTTTGTATGCTTGATTCACAGGCTAGTGGCTTAACAAACAACAACAAGAAAAAAAAATTCCTCTGAAAATGGTCAAGTACAAGGGCAAGTATGAAAAATGAAAATAAAGCAGCCAGTGTCTTAAGGAAACCTTTGAAAGACCTTCAAAAATGCTGGATAACTTTTTTGTTCAGCACCACTTTAAATAATTACAAGAAAGTAATAATTACTTTTGCTCCTTGAAAGTAAAATATTAAGAAATGAGGGATGGTTCAAGACTTAAAAAATATATATACCTTTTGTGCCAATAGATGTTTTAAAGGAGAGTGCCATGTTACTGCCATACTAAATACTTTCCAGAACTCTTTCTAGTAGAACACAGCATTTAAAGCCTGAAGGGTAGAATATACGTCAAACTAACAGTTTGCATGAGAATAAGGGAAAAATCTATATATTTAATCTCCTGACTGTCAACAGCAGCTGGTTCAGACTCATGAACTCAGTTGAAACTAATAAATATGATCTGGTTTAAGTATTAAACAACTGGTAAGCGGCCCAGCAGTCATGCTTTAGTACAAACAGATATTCAGTTCAGATCATGGTTTGTTTGTTGAATAATTGCTAATTCTTTCTGAAAGTTCATCCAGACCTTAGCGACCAGTTTTACCGCTAAGCTTAAGATCTGAATACCAGCTTTCAAGAAGCATTGATCTCATAACTCACTTTATGAAATTAGCATGTGTAAAATGAAAAATAAGTAAATAAACATCATGTGAGTATTGTTGATAATCGCATTAGAAAGGTTATCACGAGGCAGCTGGTCGGTTGAACCAGTCAGTGATAGTGCTTCACACATGTCTGTAAAGTCTGTACTGTGAACTACAAAAGCTTTTAATTTAGCATAAAGTTAAAAAAAATAAAGGAGATGCAGTGAAACGATAGATAGATAGATAGATAAATAAATAAGACGTGCAGAAGGAATGCTGGGTAAACACGCAGAAAGTGCGAGCAAATGCTTTTGACAGATTTCTTTGTTCCTTAATCCTTAAAGAGTATTTTATTCTGAGCATTCACGACCTTCACAAACAGTGTTTACACTTTTAAAGCCATATTTAAAGGCAGCTTGGATATTTTTCTTTAGTGATGAGACAAATCAGCCTTTCCTCGTGTTCTAACAGCTATTTATTATCATTTAAATAATATATAAACTATGTGGAATATTTTGGTAATGCAAAAAGTGCTGGATTTGAATCTATAACTTGTCTTCAAACAGGTTGTTTTCATCATTTTACACTGCGTTAAGTGAATAGGAGCTGCTTCTGCTTATAAGAAGAAATGCATCTATCAATGAGAAAAGCCTCTGCATATTTTGTCAAATAGCGGTTAGCAGTATTCATGCCGGATTAACACTCGTGTCCCCCAAAAGACATTCAAAGTACTCGCAGTGTTACATGACATGTTGTTGCCGTGTTTCCTTTCTGTTTTGTATTCTCAAGGTAAGACTGCTCTGAATGGTGGGTGGCACTTCGGTTTCCTTACAGGAAGTGCTGACGTTAATGAATGGTAATTTTTCCTCAGAGGAAAGAGTGGGTGACACGAGTTCATTGAATTAACGTGCCAGTTTATTTCGAGACCCCAAAACCTCTGAGCAGAGCTTTAAACCCACCCGTTTGTAACTCTGTAAAACCCTGGTGTGACTGTGACGGGCTGAAAGAGGACATCAAACACACAGATGATGTTTCAGGGCCAGTGCAAGCGGGAGTTGTAGTGTTGTTTATGTTCCCTGAAAGCTGGAATCTAGTGCACCTTGGCTCACAAGCGAAATTAATCGGACCGTGTCAGCAGAGAAGGATGTCTGTTATTTGGATTGTTTGGTCTCTTTTCACACATACGCAGAGAGTACACGCAGAGCTTTTCTCTATTTTGAAGCTCAGAGCTTTCTGGGCGCTGCATATCCCTGGGAGAACACTCTGTGAGGGTTTAGCTGTATTTCTTTTTTGTTGATTTGTCCTATAATCGAGACTTTTTTAAGAGCTCGTTGAGTGGTAGGGATACTTTGAAGCTTCCCCCTGCTTAGAAGTCAGTCTCCTCCAAGGATTTAGCAGTCCACTTTAGCACTTTGTGTGACTGGCATTAATATCTGTGACATATATTGGTTGGACAGAGCCTGCTAATTTGCTTTTAAGACAACAAATGTTCAGTGGCTGTTTCAATTCACCTGTAATCAGAAGAAGTGGGAATAAAGCAGTCCTCCTCATTATGTTGTTTTTGCCCTTTGTGGGGCATTATCGAGAACCTTGTGCAGCTGGTTTAAGAAAGGGATTTGATTTATTTGTTTTTAGCTGTTGTGCAATGCTAGCTGGAACCTCTTCGCTTGGATTTGTATCCAGGCGTTCTGAGCTCATAAATTTGCATTGAATCTGCACAGCGGGTGAAGTTGTTCATTGTGTGTTTGCCAGTAATGTGTGAATATAGTTGGGGGGGTTTTTACTTAACTTGCCGTCCAGTTGCATTTTGTTTGGTATCTTAGAGAGCAGAAGCAAACCGTGGATGTCGGAAATAACTAATGTATTTAATTTCCAATTAATCAGTGAAATGAGAGGCTGGTGTTGGTGTGGCGTTGGATTGAATTAGTCGAACTGCTTTTCTTTTTTTTCCGTTTTGCGTGTGCGTCAGAGAGCGAATATGAGAGAAGCACAGGAAAAATTTTACTGGCAGTACAGTTTGCAGTAAATTTATATTGGACAACAAAAAGCTTGAGTGACTGTGAGAATGGCTTTGAAGATGGAGCAAAGGTTATCCTTCTTTTCCAAAAGAATGACAGTACAAATAAAAGAGACTGGCAACTGATAATCTTTGATGGATGAGCGAAGGCAAAAGTCAAGTGCATTTGTGCATTTGCTTCTTTATTCTCATAAACAAAGACTACAGATAAGCAGCAGGAACACTTTTGCAGTTCAAATAAAAACTGCAAATTAAGTTTTAGACCAGCCAACAGGCACAAGGAACTAAAACATTTTATTTTGCAAATGCTGTGTTTGTCAGAACTTTTTTCCTATTTATCTGGATTATATTTTGCCCTTCCTTGTTTTCTGAAACGATATAAAAACGTGTGAGTCATCCAACTGAGATATTATCCTTTTGTATCAATTCCAAAGGCTTTTTCTCTCAATTAGTACTACTGTTTCCAGAAAACCAAGCCAAAAGTGCTTCATAGTTTCTGTTATGGGAAAAGAAACACATTAGAGGACATTAAGTATAAGGATCATTTTGAGCTACGATAATAATCTGCAGTAACTGCTTCAGTAAACCTCTCTGGTGGTATAAACAGCACTTTAGTCTCTCTTGCTGCATAGTGATTTTTGTCCGTTATGGCTGTGGGTAATTTATGACGTCAAGCCACTGCTGGTATTAACATGTGATTCTTTAATAACAAATCACGGAAGGATTTCTAAGTGACATTTTTCTCCACTCTAACTTTCAGCTGGCCTTACAGTCTTGCAGAGGTTTCAGTAAGTTTACTTTAATTTGAGTCACAACACCATCAGTGTGCGCTGTATGTGAAAAGATGCACATTACAAGCAGAGCTGCAGAGGTGATGAGTCAAGTGACAAGTTTCCTATATGCAGTGACGAGTTGAAATATTCTAGACAAAGCCTTGAGATGAAACGGTTTGATTGAAGCTTCTGCTTTGAGAGAGACAGCGTTTTGCCTACACGCCTCAAGTGGAAGAAACTTTTTAAGGCATTAATGGCAGTGAGCTTGAAGAAAGAAAGGCAGGAGTGCAGAGGAGCTAAGAAGAAGACTTATCCAGACTGTAAAATAAAGATGTCACATTTTTGTCTAGAGCCAACATGTGGCGTCCTGATGTTTTGCTTCTTCAGGGTACAACCAGTGGTAGTTGTCTCAGTCGTCATGATTTGATGTGTTTTTACATATTAATGGATGAAAGGCATGGCCTTTAGGTGGTAGTTTAGATAAAGCAACTGACATTTTTCAGCCATTTAAATGAAACCTGAGTGAACATTTATAGAGCCTCCCATTGGTTCAGGTTTGAAGCATGACTACTCAAAATCTTACTTTAAAAGAGCTGTTTCGACTGTGGTTTTACTCTGTGGTAACTATTATTGTTAATTATTGTTATCAATAACTTGCAGACTGGATGTTTTAGTAAATTATACTGTATATAATTTTTCAAATTCATTAAGGATGTGGTTCATATTCTGACAATTTGTTTTAGAATGTGAGCCAAATGTGTTTTGCTCACCAAAATCTTTCAGATATTCAAGTAGACTGGATTCAGCCGTATCCCTGTAGTGACAACTGAAGTGCTAATTAGCCGTGCCAAACAAGCTGTGTTGTTGTTTACACGCAGCACCCGTTGAATGACGCTCTTCTGTTAGCAGGTGATGCTAATTTATGCTCTGCATTTTGTCGTGTTTTACAAACGTAGTATTTTTTAGCGCCTTTATGTACTGCTGTGGTTATAAAGTTGCAATGAACTCTAGTTTTCTTCTTCTTCTTCTTCTTCTTCTTTTTTTGTAGTAATCATTTAGGGAATTGAACCTCTCTTAATTCTCTCTAAATCTGATTTCTGGCAACACTGTTGTTTTTTGTCTTTTTAAATGCATCAGCTTCAAAATCCCCACATAGTGAAAGAACCTTTCAGGCTTGGGAAGAATGTTCAAAAATTATGCTATTATGTTGACATGTCCAGTTCATCTGGAATAAAGTCAAATCTGTTCAGTGGACTTTCCCTTTTTCATGCTTTTTGTTAAAGCTCTTGTCCTTGTGAAAAAAAGAGAGCTTCCTCAGAAGCGCCCAAGTTTGACTCACTTCCTCCTTTTGGTCTCTGTCTCTTTCTTTCTTTCATTCTCTGTCTCTCTCTCTCTTTCTGTCTGTCTCAGGTTTGTGGTGCTCCTTTTTAGAGTTTCCTGCTCTTACATGGTAACACAGAGCTGAAGGTAAGGTGGATTTTATTTATTTAATTACTTGAAGCCAAAGTGAGGTTGGTGATGAAATAGCAGTGACATGTTACAGTGAGCTTCCTGTACATGGAAGAAAATGGCAAAGGCAGAACGGCTGACTTGCTTTTACAGTATATTTAAGGTTCACGCCAGGATGTTTGTATATTGAGGTCAAAGTAAAGCTGTTGCTTGGGAGCATTTCACTTTTTCTTGGAGATGAGAACTGAGGTGCTACTGGTTGTCAAACCCTGTTTGCAGCCATGTCTTTAAAGATCTGTTGAACACACTAAAACACCAGTTTGTCCCACTGTCTTCTGACAGCACAGCAAACACTCTTTTAAGCTGCAGCTCCCATTATGTTCAGCATTGGTCTATTTATATGTTTGTGAAATACAGGTTGGTGTAGAAAGAAAGTCCTACACCCACGATGGGTGTCACAGAAAGAGGTGGTAGAAAAGTTTTGTGCTCTTCCTGTCGGCTCCTCCTCCAATCAGCTGATTTGCAGTTTTGGGCTGATGCTCTCTGCTGATTCCTTTACAGATAACATGTGTAGGTTATTCATTTAAAAAGCACTTGACTGTCTTTTCAAAAATCAGTCTTTATGCCTTTTGTGTGCTTGTAGTTTTCTTTCACACAGGCAATCGGAGAATAGTTTCTTGACATTTAACATGCAAAAAATGCTTATAATGCTTTTATTATTATTTTTTTTTATAAATTTTGCTTATTTTGAAAATATAGCTGTAAAGGTCAGCAGGTGAACTCTAGGACACAATGAGAACCATAAGAGCACAGGAACAGTAGAATAGGCTTTGTGTCGCCAGATTGTGTCGACAGATTGAGTGGAATTACCTTTTTGACCCTATTTCACCTTGGTCTACAAATACATATAGTCAGTTAGCAAGCATGCATGTGAGCCCAGCTATTAGGCATTTATGACATCCACATGCACAGGAAAAGGCTTTTGAGTTGGGTTTTTGTTTTGTTTTGTTTTTTAATCAAGTTAATTTATTGTCTAATTGACACATGTTTTCTTGTACAGATGACAAGAGGTCACTTGTGGAAGTCATGGGATATTTTTGTGCAGGGAAATGGCTACCATTATTATGCTTTATCTGTAGCAAAACGCATGTTTTCACATGTTCTTTATGAGGGAGTGCAGACTAACAAGGTAAAAAAAAAAGCTCTTCAATCGGTATAACGTGGACAAGATATGTGACAGAGACATAAGCTACAATGGAACAAAAAAGAGCAATGACAAAGAAGAGGATGAACATTTTTTCCTTTTGTTTTTGTTTTTTTGTTTTTTGATGCAATGTGTAGTATCAATTACATGTACGTGGATATAAAAACTATACATGTACTGTCAAGCAGAACCACTGACACCACAGGCACCTACAAATACACACATGCACACGCAAACACTCACACACATACACCACAAACTTCCCGCGTACTCATATCTCTCAGTCTTTTACTGACAGTGACTGTGCCAGTTTTGAGAAGGGTGAGTGGGTGTGTTGACTGGAAACAAGCAGCAGTGACCCAATACAAAGCCCTCTCAACCAAGCCATAACCCTCAGTGTGGAGTTGTTGGCTCCACAGAGGAGCATGTTTAAGTCCTCAACATGTTCAGTGAAGGAGAAAGCGACCCAAGCGGGCCGGGCAAGTGACCTGGATCTTCAGTCGTAGAAGGAAAACAGAGACATGTGTATTAGTCACTTCGTAAAGCGGACTTAATCAAGGTATAAGAAGATAGAAGTGTTTTAGTCATTTATTTACCATTAAAACTATTTTTATCTGTATGACTGACTCTTTTGGGAAAATGTTAAATACTTCACTTAAGTGATGTTCTTTCCCCAGTACATTTAAAACCTTTGTAAAGCTGCTAAACCCACATTGTATCCCAGCTTACGTCCGACAAACGCAGCTTGTATCCCCGATATTAAAAAATATCTTTCTCAAGGATTAAAATGATCAGAACAACACTTGTGGAGGCATTCTTCTCGTGCACAATTTTACAGCAGGTTACAAGTGTTTGTGGCGTGTTTTCATGTGTGTGGCAGAAGATGGGAAAAGATGTGCAGAGTAAAATCCATGTAAAATAGCCTGGACTAATTACTACTGCAGCTGAATCCAATTACCACTCGGTGGAAAAAATTATAAATATTAAGTTATAACAAGTTATTTTACATGTGGTGTCTGGGATGTCTTCTGTGCTTTTGCAGAACATTACCAGCTGGGATTAAACACCTGAATTGAAAGATGAATTTTTGCCATAAATGTTTGTAACTTTCTATCTGTGTAATATTACACTATACTTTAAATGGCTTCATAAAGTGGCTTTTATTCCTTTTAATTGTGTCATGCTAGTTAATGAAAGGTTTTTAGGTTTATGCCAAATAAACATGTTGTTTGTATCATTCCTCATACTTTAGCTGGTTTTTTTTCTTCCTTTTTTAAAAACAAAACAAAAACAAAAAAACCCCCAAAACTCACCACCCTTCATATTCTTGACAAGCTATGGTTGTTGTGCTGATTTCTGCAGTCTTTGTAAAGGTGAGACACTTGGCAAATAGTAAAATGAAAGCGAAAGTTTCATAAGTTGATCCGAAGTGACCTGAAATGATCTTTTTCTCACCACTTTACATCCCTTTAGTTACTGTTTTCAGTTTATGTGTAACATATGTTCCCTGCACTCTAATTAAGAATTCTCCCCTTTTTCAGCTTAAGGGTGTTGAAGATGGCGGTGTGGATCCAGGCCCAACAACTGCAAGGAGATGCCCTCCACCAGATGCAATCTCTGTACGGTCAGCACTTTCCAATTGAGGTGCGACATTATCTGTCCCAGTGGATAGAGAGCCAGCTCTGGTGAGTTTATTTGATGCACGTGTGACCAGAGAATGTAAAGGATGTTAAAAAAAAAAACCTAATCCTATTTTTGTAACATTTTGATTTGTTCTGTTCAACATCTTACAATTTATCGTGTGTGTTTGTGTGTGTGCGCGTGTGTGTTAGGGATGCCATAGACCTGGAGAACCCACAGGAGGAGTTTAAGGCCAAACGCTTACTGGACAGTCTTATACAAGAGTTGCAGAACAAGGCTGAGCACCAGGTTGGGGAGGATGGTTTCCTTCTTAAAATCAAACTGGGACACTATGCCAACCAGCTCAAGGTGAGGCTTTTATTCGAACGCCGCTGCATTCTTAATATAGTTCCCATTTAGTGCTTGGTTACCTGGCAATAGCTATTAAGCAATAGCTGTTGTGTTTTATTTAGAGTTGCTTGGCTTTGATTTGCAGCGGGTACATGTGTATCAGCTGTGGCTTGTTTGTCAGACCCTGATTTGATCATCTGTGGCTACAGAAATAAGGAATGGAAAGTACTGGTACTCCAAGTACTGGGAATGTCAAAAACAAGGCATTCAAAAGCAACTCTGAATGAATAATAAAAACAAAACGTACTAAATCTCAGTATTACACCTACCCAGACTGTAGCACTGTTTTAAGAAGAGCATAAAATTGTTTACAATGTCACAAAATGATGTGATTGATGTGATTAGAAGTCACAGCTGTTCAGCTTAACTGCCTCCCTTACTGTAGTTCTCAGAAAGAGCACATGTTGCACAAAATGTTTTAAGAACAGGTTGTATCCACTGAGAGGAAAACAACAGGACGGCTCGAGCGAGGGCCTCAGTAGCTAGCCAGCTCTGCTATTTATGATCGAACTCCCTCTTCACAGATCTGTTCTTCTGTTTGTTTTCTCCCCTCCCTGAGACCACGAGGAAAAACAGGGAGAATGGGGCAGGCTGCGCACATCACACTGCAGTCCTGAATTCCTACCACACTGTTTCCCAGTTTATGGCGCTGAGCACACGTGTATTCGTGTAGTTGAGAGTGACATGTTAAATGTGTCACTTGGGTTCCTCTCTTTCCTGCAAAAGTCAAAAAAATGCAGATATATAGCTACTGTGAATGATTTCTCTCTTTCTGTGCGGTATGAAGTGAAAGCAATTCAACTTGAAACTTAATTCCTTCACTTAAAACAGGAAACAACAAGAGTATCACCCGCAGTTTTAAACTGAAACAAGATTTTGTTACACTGTAACAGACAAACCACTTAACTAGGCGTATACTAATGAGTCATGGACCTATATGAAGTGTGCTCATTAACTTAATAGGTTTTGGTGTGTCTGCAGTGTTAGCTCCAGAACCTTTGATTCTACTAAATTGGCGAGCCCTGTGTGCAGAAGCCGCTCTACTCGTCAAGAGCTAACAGGCCTTAACACAGCTCATGTGCTCCTTGTCTTTCAGAGCACGTATGACCGCTGTCCTCTGGAGCTGGTCCGATGTATCAAACACATCCTTTACACAGAGCAGAGGCTCGTCCGAGAGGCTACAAACGTAAGTGGGATTCGTGTTTGTGCATCGAACATGTATAAAAATAAATAATTTCTGAGTGTATATGTGAAAAAGTATTTGCCACATTCCAGTTTGTTACACTTATATTTTCAGATCGTCAAGCCTATTTTAATATTAGACAAAGAAAAATACAAAATCCAGTTTTTTAAATGAAGATTTTATTTATCAAGGGAGTTAACCAAACTCTTCGTGACCCTATGGCAAAATAACCCCACCCCCAGCTTGTAAAATCACGATTTAACTGTGATTAACTGCTTTTTTTTCTTTGGAAAGCTGACACATCTTGCCACAATCTCAAGAAACATGAGAACAGCTGAGAAACAAAGTCATTGAAATCTATCAGCCTGGAAAGGGTCGCAAAGCCATTTCTGAGGCTTTGGGATTCCAGCGAACCACAGTGAGACCCATTATCCACAAATGGAGAAAAATTGGAACAGTGGTGAACCTTCATGGGAAAGGCTGACCTAACAAAGTTACTCGAAGAGCGCTTTGGGACTCATCCATAGGGTTCATATAGGGCCAGGAGCTCACAAAAGAACCAAGTACAACAACTAAAGAGCTGCAGGCCTCGCTTGCCTCAGGGTCAGCGTTCATGATTCAACAATAAGAAAGAGACTGTGCAAAAGTGGCATCCATGGGAGAGTTAGAAAGAGAAAAATTACTGTTGACCAGAAAGAACACAAAGGCTCATCTCACATTTGCCAAAACACACTTTGATGATCCTCAAGACTTTTGGGACTGACGAGACAAAAGTTGAACCGTCATACCGACAGTAAAACATGGTGGTGGTAGTGTGATGGTCTAGGGAAGCTTTGCTGACTTAAATCCATTTAGATTTATGCTTAAAGGCTTCAGTTCAAAGCGAGCAAACCATTCATGCTTTAAAACCCCCTAATGTGGCTGAATTAAAACAATTCTGCAAAGATGAGTGGTCCAGAATTCTTTCAAAGGGATGTGTTTTTTAATTTACTCAGGTTGTCTTTGACTAATATTAAAATTTGTTTAATGATCTGAAATATGTAAGTGTGAAAAGTATGGAAAAACCAAAGAAATCAGAACAGCAGACACACAAACACACCTGTGGCTTCATAGCCCGCAAAACACAAACTACATAATGGTGGCTGATTCGGAAAGTGGATAACTATTCTGTTTCCTGTATTTGTTTATCCTAGAGGATCTCCTGAGTTCATTGTATTCGAACATTATAAATGTGATATCGTACCACAGCCAATACAGTCATGCTTTAAAATGGCCTTGTAAAACCAAACCATTTCTATTTCCCTACTTTAACAATGCAATATACAGGAAAGTCAGATATTTCTCACTTTTATAACTTGCAGTGAGTTATAAAACCATAAAGCCAGCCGTGCGTAAGACATCTTCCTTGAACTCCTGTGGTGAATTGATTTTCAGTCACAACATGCTTTTTCTGTTAGTGGAGTTAATTTTGGCCCGTTCAGTCTGAACCTTTAGGTACAGTAATGCACTTTTTCAAATTGTGGTGACCTTGCACTCTTCCTGAGGATGCAAATACATTTTTTCCTTATCAACCTGCACCGTTGACACTATCCTTGTGTTCCCAGAGAATTTTTACAGTTAAATAGTGCAGGTGCTGGGGTCTAGCCATCAGTCAGTGCATCATGTTAGTTTTGGTTCAGTAGCTGTCTGTCTCTGTTTGCTGGTCTCTCAATCTCATATTTTGTAATTGACAGTCAAACTCTCCAGTGGGTGGAATGATGGACAGCATGTCTCAGAAATACCAACAGATCAACCAGGCTTTTGAGGAGCTTCGCCTGCTGACCCAAGACACTGAGAACGATCTCCGCAAGCTCCAGCACAACCAGGAGTACTTCATCATCCAGTACCAAGAAAGCATGCGCATTCAGGGTGAGACCAGAGGGCTTGCATCTCCTTAGCGCTGCACGACCATAATGACAGAATCAGTGTTTGTACTAATGCAGTTTTCACAAACTTAACTTATACCTACTGCAAATACCAAAAAACATATAATTAATGTTTCTAACTGTTGTTAGTCATTTAGATTTGCTGCTGTACCATTTTAATTCCTTGTTGAATCAAGAAACAAACTCTAGTTTATCTACTCTGTTTGTTTGGTGAGCAACTTGCTTAAAATAGATCTTTTTTTTTTCCAATTATGCTGCTCCCTTTTTGGTTAATCAGTCTCACTTAGTCTGTTGTGTGCCACATGTCACTGTTCAAATTAAATATAAAAGATAATTCTTCATACAGCTATCTGAATTTTGTGTTGAGACATGTAGATTAACAGCGGGAAACTGACAGCTTCTGTAACACTACAGATTTTTCACGAGTGCTCCATGTGTCAGATAGAAAGCATCGATCTTTTTTAATATCTGAGCTATGCAGGAGGGGGAGGAGGGGGTTTTCCTGAGTAAATCATTATTCCTCGGATGGGACATGAATATTGCATGTGCACAGGTTAGAAATTGTTACTGCTTCTCTTCTACTCCCTCTGTCTTTAACTTGTCTCCCATCTTCAGCTCAACTGGCCAGCCTGGCCACACTGCCCCCTGCTGACCGCCAGCTACGAGAGCCTGCCCTTCTGAGCAAGAAAAACACTGTGGAGGCATGGCTGACGAGAGAGGCCAACACACTACAGAAATACAGACTGGTGAGACATACTTGCACTTACTTATTTCGTTCATGTGTGTGTGTGTGTATCAATGTGTAAATTACACTCCATAAAGATAAAATTAACTAGACCACATTGTGGAATGAGATCATATCACTGCAGTACCAGTGCAGTTGCCAGATTACACCCATCCTTGAACTGGGCCTTGGTTTTGATTTTAAACTGTACAGAAAATCTTGGACAGCTGATAAAATCTCTCCACAGACAGACATATAAACACCTGGCAAAGAGGTTGAAGCCAACTTTGTGGTAGTTGCTGCTACAGCTGTTGTCTCCCAGACATTTTATCATGATGACTGTCACACACATACACACACAAAGCTGGTCCCGCGTTTGCTTTTTGACTTTAAGTAAATAAAGTATGGTATATGTAGGTAACACTACACCCGCAGTGAAATCGGCCATCACTTTGATTTTAGTTACAACCCTGTAAAGTTTTGTGACCGCACCTTGTTTCGAGGCAGTCACATCCAGACGGACATGCAGAATGAGCAACTGTTCTCTGCAGCTTTTGTGGTAGTTGCAAACATTACACTCCCTAAGTTAAGTCTTTACCCCTTTTAAAAGCGTAATAGGAGTAACCCTTGATGCTTTTTTCTGAACTGAGCCATTTCTCTCATATTTCGGGCCTGTTTATAGCATAAAATGACTCAGTTTGCATCAGAATTAAGTGAGCATGGTCTCTGCATATGCAGGTATACTTGGAAAAACTTAGAAACTCTTTTAATAGTCGTCAAACCACATTTTTATTGACATATATACTGAGGTGGCAAAAGTAAGAGTGAGGTAGAGGTCACCAAATGAGGAAAAGAGTCTCTCCATAACCACGGTTTACTTCAATGACGCACAAATTTGTAGCCCACACACAGATTCACAGAAACATTTGACCAAAACTTGGTTCTGGTGAAGTACATGTGTCTTGCTTGCTTGTGTGCAGGACCTGGCAGAGAAGCACCAGAAAACACTGCAGCTGTTGAGGAAGCAGCAGACCATCATTCTGGATGACGAGCTGATCCAGTGGAAGAGACGGCAACAACTGGCAGGCAATGGGGGACCGCCGGAGGGAGGCCTGGACATCCTTCAGTCCTGGTGAGTTGCTTTTTTTTCGCTCTACCTCCCACCAAGATCACAGTAACTAGACTCTCTCACAAGGCAAAAGGTCACAGGTTTAAAAGCTTGCTTTGGAGTGGTCCTGTGTGGGGGGTTTTCAAAGGTTATTGGCAGGCATAGGCTGTCTTACATATTTTCTATTTTTTGCTTTAACCCACCGTCAGGGATCCCTGGCTGTGAGCCCTTTACATTTTTAAAGGCCTCACTTATTCAGCCAGATCTGAAAGTTTTAGTAGTGTCAGCTACTTAAATTCTGTCTAATATAGCTGAGCTCAGCTTTCAGGAGCTCAAATTAAAATAAGTAATGGTGAAATATAATATTTCTGGCACTGGTCGTGTTGATCTTCAAGTGTTATTCTTACTTGTGTGTCTTTCTTGTGGATGCGTGGCTGGATTGGTGCCAGGTGTGAGAAGCTCGCGGAAACGATTTGGCAAAACAGGCAACAGATTCGGAGGGCCGAGCATCTCAGACAGCAGCTGCCTATCCCTGGACCTATTGAAGAGCTCCTCAACGAACTCAACAGTACTATCACAGATATCATTTCAACACTGGTCACCAGGTGTGTTTGTGTGTTTCAAGTTTTTCTACACATCAAAGGCTGCAGCACCTGGCATGCTTATGTGTTGTCTGCAGGTTTTATGTAGAGCTGTGCAGCTCACTAGGAGTCGGGGGGTTGGGGGGGAATATGTTAGAAATATGTGGAACCACTAATGTGCGCAGCTCTTGTTCGTGTTTGTCTTGCTGTTGGTCCTTAACTCCAGCCGTGAAGAAGACAGTAGCCATTACAGAGCTCTGAAGTGTTAAAAACCATACATATGATCTCTGTCTGCTCAAGTCGGATTTTTAACCAGGCAGCATTAAACGACTACACGGCATGTTTACACTCAGGCTATGTGATATTTTTTGGACTTTATGCAATCACGTCTGCATTTGTTGAATACCCATAAATCTCCACTCTGCATACTCAAATACGAACACTGAGGGAACATCAATGAGGGGTCATAAATGGCACATTAATCTTATCTACAACTTTAATTTATTTTGTGAGTGTAGGCCAGTGTAGGCCAGTGTAGGCGGTGGGTGGATCTTTTTTGCACATTGAGGAATTGCCTTTTATGCACTCAGGTTACTGAGTGCAAAAAGGGCAATGAAAGGGCAGGTCTACTTGTGCAACTGGTATTGTGGTCAATGGAGTGAGAGATGTCATCTATTTGTAAAATGAAATTACTCCCACATTCAAAATTATCCATCAAATAATGTAATTCAATCCACATGCAAAAATTTTGTTAAAGTTTGGGTTTTCTTGTCTCTCTCTTACACTTATTGTGTGAGTGTTAAAGGAAACATGAGAGCTCTTTACCTTGTACTTAAGCTATAATCCTGATGCTGCCGCAGCCTGTTGTGGTAAAGAGAGCTGAGCAGAAGGCAAAGCTTTGCTGGACAGTCTGCTTTCCTTCCCTGACCTATGGCCACAAGCTATTGGTAGTGACACACATAACCTTCCTTCAAGGGGTGTTTGGGCTGCCCTTAGATATGTCAGACATGTCTTCTAGATACCCTCTTTTTGAGGTATTTTGGGCATGCCCCACTAGGAGGGGATCCCAGGGCAAACACAAAACATGCTGTAGAGAGCTGGAACATAAATGTCTCTGAAGAGGAGGAGGCGGTGGCTGAAGGGAGGGGTGTCTCAGCATCTCTGCTTAGATTAGATTACTGCAACCAGTTAAATAGTGAAAAGTGAATAGGTGGATGGACTGTTCTATGGTATCCGATAATGCGATAGTGTGGAGGTACATTAATACACATAGCACTGGTAACTGTAGACATCAATAATCCACCATCAATACCTCTTTTCTCAGGGTAGCCCTTGCACAATTTAAGCTGCATAGCTGTTACCAATATCAGATATTACAATAACCTCGATCCATAGTGCTAGAGTCTGGGTGGTAAAGGGAATTTTCCATTATGGACTTTGGCTAACTGCCCCCAATAATGACTCCCACACTCCCACATAGACATGTACACTGTACACTGTATTAAACTGCATAAACAAAAGTCAAAAAGTGGGGTTTCAGTTACTGTAACCTATGGGGATTATACCTTAAAAGTTAGATTAAATTTAGGATTTGACTTTATGTAATACAGAATAATGAGTGTGAAAGCAATGCACTGAGCATTTGCGTTTTAGATTTCATGAAATACGTACGAACCCAGAGACAAAGAATGCAACTATACAGATATGCAGAAACAAAAAGCATACAGTGTTCGAGAGCTTAAAGGGAAGGAAGTGCACAGGGAACTTGTTTTAGTCCATTATTTTAAGCCCCAAATGCACATATGCCAGTGTCTTTTAGTCATCCAGCATCTCTGAACAAGAAGTATTCTGAAGTTTGTGACAGTGTCCTCTCTCGCTTTCCTAGTAGATTCCCTGCAGGGACCCATAACCCACTAAGAAGTCATGTCATTGTCACAACGATTTTTGACTGGCCACAGACAAGTCTGAAACAAGACAGTAATGCACAGCTATCAAGCACAATATAAATGCAGATTATGTTTCCTCCTATCTTTACTCCCTAGGAGCCCCGGGAGGTTTCACACTGGCAATTGCAAAGTGCGGTCTTCTCATAACCACTTAGTTCAGCAGTATTTGTTTGCTTTCAAGCTTCCTCTGAGCCTGCAGGATTAATCATTACGCTGATTCTGCTGTTATCTCACTTCTTGGTCTCTTTAATGTTAATGTGGAAATCAGAAAACGGCTACACCGCCATACAAAAGAAGCACCAACTCTTTAAGAAGAAAGTAATTGTTAACCCTGTCGGTTAACTTGAAAGCGATTACTTACATGACCTTCAAATAGTGCGCAAGGCAGCAATAAAGGTCATTTTGAAAGGTTAATGTTCTCAAGCCTGCAGGTCATTAGAGCATAAAGAGTTTGGAGTTTTTATTAACAAAACAAAACAGTTCGCTGAACATTACCCCATCATTACCCTATCATAAAACATGCTCCATGCTTTATATGCTTAAAACTTTTTCCTTAAACAATTAATGCCGTAGAGTGCACATACATAACAGGTTCTGCTGCAGTGAGGTTACTGATCTCCTAATATTTGTTCAACTCTGCCTTTCACTAAAGTTCACTAAACTACAGCGATACCAGTCTTTCTAGCTTTAGATCATTGACTCGTTTGCATAGTTCGCATGTTCTTCGTCCCTTCTTTTCTCTGCATGCTTAAGTGTTTCTCACAGTTTCCCACAGTCTAAAGATATGCTTGTATAGGGCTGTGCGATATGACCAAAATCTCATATCCCGATATAAGAATTCTATCGTCCGATATAAACGATAATAACGATATAAATCACAAAAAAAATAATATTTAACATTTTCTGTAAATTCTGTGAATCTCGGGCAGCTCGACTTGCGTGAAGTGTTTCCAGCTGCACGTCCTTTACCCGGAGTCAAGTGTTTTAACCGATGCACGAAACTATACATTTTTAGACATAAGTTGTAATGCTGTTTTCTTTGTATTTATTACACGGCGTGCTGCGGGTTGCCTGTTCTAACGTTTGAGTCTAAGGTTTATTTTTTAGCACCTGGCGGCTCTTCTTTACTTCTCATCCATAAATAATCTGCTCTTTCACGTGATTCAGTTTATTTTGAAAAGTCTCAACAGGATCTTGAGCTTTATTGTGAAAGGTTTACGTGGAACATAAACAAGCGGACACGCGAAGGTGTTCCCGTCGTTGTTGCTAACGACAACGCATAAAACAGGCGCTTGTCCGTCAGTAGTGTGGTTATTTACATATAAGAGAAAGAGAGAACTTTAAGAAATTAATATAACCACTGCAGTGACCATCAGAACGATGAAAAAATATTGCCGTAAACAGTTTATTTTGCGACACCACGAAACAAACGATAGCGTAAAATGAAACGATAGATGTTTTTATATCATCATCCGATATATATCGTTATATCGAACAGCCCTATGCTTGTAGGTTAACTGGCAGCAGGTGTGGATGTGACTCTTAATGCTTACCGGTCTCTCTGTTAACCCTGTGATGGACTGGCAACCTTTCCAAGGCCTACACTACTTCCTCGCATGTGTCAAAATACGCTGTCTTGGCTATTAAAAACATATTACAAGTTCATGGTCATGCAGCTTAAGTAGGGTGCGTTTGCTTTTAAGTTGCTTCTCAGCTCAAAGTAATCATTAGGTTGTGTTATTGGGCCAATCACACAACAGACAGTAAAAGCAAAAGAATAATTTCATAAGAGACCTGTTGTTGACCTCTATTAGTGGGAACAGTTACAAATAAGGTCATTTTCACCTTGTGAAGTTTCATTTTTAGGACAGAGTTTGCAACATTCAACACCAAATACTTTTAACATGTTTTACATCATAAATCATTCATGCTGTCTTTTTTTATGCTTTAAGCCTGTTTTATCTTTTATTGAAACAGTTTCAGTGAGTAGACTATAAGCTTAGTTATAGGACAAGTGACTTTTTAGTGCACATTCTCAAAGTTGTCAGTCTTCTTGCTACAGAACGAAAGCAAAAAGCTTAAAAAAATCCACAGTTGAAAATTGTGTACATAACCTGCACAACTGGAATGGAAAGTTAACTGTTTCCTAAACAATTGTTTCAGTTGAAGCTGCAAATACTCAGCAACAATTTAAGACCGAAGTAGAGCTTATAATCTGCAATAACCTGTGCAGCTGTACTAAAGTTCACTAAACAACAATGATACTGATCTATTTTGCTTTTGCTTGGAACAGATGGAATTTGACACTGACATATTTGCAAACCCCAAGATTTCCTCACGTACACTGTTGGTTGTTTATGTGACACTGATACATACTACCAGAGCTGTTATTTGACAGCCCGTTAATTAAATGGACGGGTGGTTGGATGTCGCTTTAAGATGTGCATATAGTGGCAGTAGGTATCTGATGATAAAGACATTTGTCACACTCTAACTGTCACTCTTCTATCCACAGCACATTCATCATTGAGAAACAACCTCCACAGGTCCTTAAAACCCAAACTAAGTTTGCCGCTACAGTGCGCCTTCTAGTGGGAGGCAAGCTGAACGTACACATGAATCCCCCACAAGTCAAAGCTACCATCATCAGTGAACAGCAAGCCAAGGCCCTCTTGAAAAATGAAAACACAAGAAAGTAAGTTTGGTGCATTGGTGCAAATGGACTAGTGCTTTTCTGCTGGTCACTCAAGGAGCTTTATACAACATGCTTCATTCACCCATTCATACAGCATATACATACATCCCCTTTTTTTTTTTTAAACGCTCAACTTTTCGCATTCCATCTTCCTTGACAGAGAGAGAGATAACACTGCAATAAGTTACCATAGCGCAATTAAGATAAGCGGTTTGGTTTTCTTCCGAGATTACGAGATCCCATGGTGAACTCTGGCCTAGTGTGTTCCCAGACCTCACCACAGAAACATGGCTGGAACTTGAACAATGTCTAAGAGGAATCTATGGTGTGGACACAGAATCCGCATTTAGCCTGTTCCACAGCCTCGTTCCACATTCCTCCTAACTAATAGAAACCTTACAAGACTGTAGGTCTGCCAGGCAGCTAGTGGGAAAGTGGCTGAGCGGCTACATCTTAGCAAAATCTACAGAGCAAATCTACATACATCTGCTGCGTCTCATCTAAACCACTTGTCGAGAGACTTCTGCCACAACGTCTCGCTCAAAAGCATGTGACTAAAGAGGGACGCCACATGAAGTGTAGTCTAGTAATGCTAAGCGTTTTGTACTGTAACTGCATTTAACAAACCAATTCAACAAACCAGCAGTGTGCGCATGTCAGTAATTTAGTATGTAGGCAGTGTCTGAGGAAGTGAGTAGTGAATGAATGTAAAACCAAAAAGCACGACATAGCTCCGCCGGTTAGTGAGGAAATCGAAGAGATAGAAAGTGAGCAAGATGGTCTTGCTAGGCAGCTTAATAGTCTCCTGAGCCCAACTTGCTCAGGTGTGGTTTCTATCCAGGTTGTCTCCACCCACTAATTTCCAGGAAGAAATAAAAACATGCAGGCTACAAGGAAAGACAACAAGAAAACAGCCCTGAACCTGCCATACTTGTGTTTAGTGTTTAGAGAAGACTAATGGTGGTAGTTAAACCTGCCAATTATGCACGCAATACCCCCCCTACACACACACACCTACCAACCACTCCCTCCATACAAAACAAAAAGCTCCTGCTGTGTAAACATGCATTTGTAGATAACATCTAACTTTATTGTCTCTGTGTTTCAGTGATAGCAGTGGTGAAATTCTTAACAATAACTGTGTGATGGAGTACCACCAGACTACGGGCACTCTGAGCGCCCACTTCAGGAACATGGTAAGTATGAGCTATTAGTGAAGATTATTATTTCCATGTAAAAAATAAAAATAAAAAAAACCCATAAAGCTGAAGTAGTATTGCCATTGTTCCTTCTATACAAAAAGTCTCTTAACATTTAATCTAAAATAATAGCGCCTTGCTATTTGCCTTCTTTTGCTGCACTATACCCGAAACAGGTAAATATGTGATTGTCTTGGGTCTATACAGGAGAGTTGCTCAGCCGCTTATATAAGGGAAGTAATTGCCAATCATTATGTCCCATATAGCATTTTTTCCCTTGGATTAAAATTGTGAACAGTAGTCCTTTGGAGGATCGGCCTGCAGCTTCAGTGAAGTTCTCTTCATCACTAATGTTGTTAGCAACAATCTCCAGAGCCCTCCAAGGATTATTCACATATGATCCCGATAATCTGCATGCATGTACTGACTGTGTGTGACGCTTATAAGCCTAACTGCGTAGTTAATACATACCATTTGTTCTTGCACATCATTTATCATGCAGTCTTTAAAGAGGATCAAGCGATCGGACAGACGAGGAGCAGAATCTGTCACAGAAGAGAAATTCACCATTCTGTTTGAGTCCCAGTTTAGTGTTGGAAGCAATGAGCTTGTCTTTCAAGTGAAGGTAAGAGGATGTAGGCAAATTAATGAATAAAAAACACTATACTTTAAATCACACTTTAAAAAAACTATATATATATGTGTGTGTGCGTGCGTGCATGCACATGCTGCAAGTAAGAATCTGGCTCGAGTACTCCCACTTGTTCCTTCTGTCTTTTTCCCTGTTGTTTTTATCATGTTTAAAAAAAAATGTATGAAATGCAAGAAATGTTTTATTGTGCTGTAAGTGCATTATTTACTTTTGCAATTTCCTCCTTTCTTTCTCTGAACAGACATTATCACTTCCTGTAGTGGTGATTGTTCATGGTAGCCAAGACAATAATGCCACTGCAACTGTATTGTGGGACAACGCTTTTGCAGAACCGGTACGTAAATGTTTCAGAGATATTGCATGCAATGCAAACCTTCCTGGAACAAGCATTAAATAATTATTCAGCTTAGTGATATTTTTGTATCCTAATGCAGAAGTACTGCGTTAACTGAGAAAGGCCTTGAATCAAATATTTCTGAAGTGTGCACATGTTTAAATAGTTTAGCTCTTACAAAATAATTGCTAGTTCTTTAGATGTAATGTAACACGTGCAGCCCGGAACTGAAACACAAATGCATGTTTAAATCTGTTTTAAATTTAGGTTTTTAATGCAATTATTAAATATTAAATTTTTTTTTCTTTAAAAAAAAAAATGTTTATGCAAAGGCATAACGTGTGTGTCACTTATGTTTTGTGTCTGTGTGATGTGAGTGAAAATTCTTTGCCGTTTTCTTCGTGTGTTGCAGGGTCGGGTGCCTTTCCTCGTGCCAGATAAGGTGCTTTGGCCTCAGCTGTGTGAGGTCATCAACATGAAGTACAAGGCAGAGGTGCAAAGTAATCGAGGTCTGTCGGAGGAGAACTTGGTATTTCTGGCTCAAAAAGCCTTCAGCAGCTCCAGCAACAACCCTGATGACTACCGGAGCATGACTATGACCTGGTCACAGTTTAACAGGGTTAGAAACGGCCTCTTTCTTACTCATGATCCTGTTCATCTCTATACATGCACACAGCTGAAGAGTATTCCATATATCTGTTTTAGCTTGAAAGTATAGATTTCTGTCGTGCTGCACTTCATGCATTTTTAAAACGCCTGCAGGCAAAGTTCAGTTAGTCATTTGAACCACATACTTGTTCTTCATGAAAGGATTTACTATTGCGCTGTTATTCATACATAGAAATATTTCTTGCTCCATTTGCAGCAGTTCAAGGGGTTTAATAAATTTATCTCTGATATAACTGAACCTCTGAAAATGAGCGACTATATATCAAAATTGCTGTACTTCCTAATTAGTTAATGCAATATGTTTTGTTAAACTCCTTTAATTCAACATGAAAGACTTAAGTCAAATCTTGATTGTTTTATCTAAAACCTACTGTGCTGGTGCACAGTGGTAATATGACAAAAATTGTGTCATTGTCCAAATACTTACCCACCTAAGTGTAGGTCGGTTTAATGGGCTTGTTTATCCGCACAGGAAAAAAAAATGCTGAAAGCCTCATTTTCTGCTTCTAAGTAGCTTGTGATTCAGAAAATGCACTCAGATTCACCACAGGCCACGGGTCTTATTAGATTACAGGAACATTAAGTTTTAATCACTCCAGAGATGTAAGTATAGGTTATAGAAATATGCAGAACTTTACCCAGAGACGTGTACAGCTGCACAAATTTTAAAATCATAAAGAGAACTGTGATTACTGTCAGCGGTTGAGGAGATTTTCATTATTATAGACTGAATTGGGTCATCTAAAAACATTTTAACAGTTGTCAGTTCAGTCTGGGGTTTTTTTTTTTGTTTGTTTGTTTTTCATGTGTTTTTAAAAAAAAATTTCCCCAAACTATGCCCCTTTACAGGAAAGCTTGCCAGGGAGGAACTTCACATTTTGGCAGTGGTTTGATGGTGTGATGGAACTCACAAAAAAGCATCTGAAACCACACTGGAATGATGGGTAAGGAAACTGCTGAGGGTTTTTGTTCAGTTTCAAAAGATTCAAAATGAGGAGGGACAAGAACGAGGCACAATTTTTATTTTATTTTTTTAATTTTTTTTTTATTAATGTCTCTCTTCCTCTATTTTTAGAGCCATCCTGGGCTTTGTGAACAAGCAGCAAGCTCAGGATATGCTCATGTCTAAACCCAACGGTACCTTCCTCCTGCGCTTTAGTGATTCTGAAATTGGAGGAATTACAATTGCCTGGGTGGCAGAAAATCCTAACAAAGCAGGTAAAGCATGCAAAACACAAAATTTCTCCATTTTTGTTTTTTAAACCACACCGTTCATCAGACGGGCCTCTTTCTAACAAGCACAGAAGCCACAGAGAAATAAAGGAATCCCATTCAGTTTTTCTTTTGTTGCTGTTTTTTTTCGCAGGTGAAAGAATGGTTTGGAACCTTATGCCCTACACAACCAAAGACTTTACCATTCGCTCTCTGGCTGACCGCATTAGTGATCTCAACCACCTTCTATTCCTCTACCCTGACAGACCCAAGGATGAGGTTTTCTCCAAATACTACACTCCGCCTCTCTGTAAGCGTCCTTCTGAGCACACTGTTACTTTCAAATTTGAATCTCACAGCTGCGAAGCCTTCATTACTGAATGATGATCACATCGAGCCATTACTTATTCTGTCTGCCTGTGCTTGTCTGTTTCAAAGCTAAAGCAGTTGACGGTTACGTGAAACCACAGATCAAACAAGTTGTGCCTGAGTAAGTGTCCGGCTTCCTGTTCTCTCTTTTTCTCGTGTCCTTCCATCACCGTTTCCTCTCCATTCTTTTCTCGTTGTCATCCACCCAGCATTTTATTCTGTAAAGCACAATTTAGAGTTAATCACAAAATACTGGGCCATGAATTCAGATCAGCTATTAGCTAGCTGTTACAGTTGGAGGAGGCCAATTAAGCGCGGCCTGGGTTCCTGCGCGAGCTCGTCTTCCGCTGATCATAAGAGTTAGGCTTGTTAGTTAGCAAGGCACGCTCCCTGCCTTTCTCCACAGTTGGTTCACCTGCAGATATGGAAAACGGCCATAATGATACAAGAAGGCCTGAAAATCATGCTGAGGATCGTTGCTTAGGCAACTACTGAACACAGGCTCATGGGGGGTTGTTGTTTTCTTTTCTTTTTTTTTTCCTTGTGTCTATGTGTAGATACATTCAGAGATGTATATGTACTTTGTTCATTACCAAAATGTGGTGTTTTGGTTGTTTTCAGGTTTGCCACAGCCAATCCAGACCCAGCAAGTGGGAATCCAACTTACATGGATCAAGGTGCCTCTCCAGCACCTGTCAGTCACCCTCACGCCTATGGCATATATCCAGCTATGTGAGTTTACAACATTTTTCCGTGTCCCAATTTTGTGCGTGCAAGGAGTTTCTTGTATCTCCTGCTGTTTGATTGCCGTTATGCCGAAAGCTTGTGTGAGTGGCCTCTATCTATTTCCTGTGGCAGGGCTGACTCTATGTTGGATGCAGATGGAGACTTTGACCTAGATGACACCATGGACGTAGCGAGGCATGTAGAAGAGCTTCTCCGGCGGCCTGTAGAGAGCCAGTGGAGTGGCCAGCAGTCGTGACCTTTGACCGTTTAACTCGCAACAAAACCAAATGAGCCCTGCCCAGCAACTTGCCCTACTCACATCGACATGGTTTAATTCCATTGGTCTCTCTCATTTTTTTTCAGATTGCTATAATGTGAAATGTTCATAATGGTTGTGATTTTTTTTTTTTTTTTTTTTTGCTTTCCAGCATGAAAACATGCATGCCAGTGACTTCATATTGTTTTTATTTGTGTAATCAGTGTTTGTAAAAGAAAGTATAATGCAAAACCTCTAATGTTACAATGTTATGAAAAAGAAGTAATGGTCACTCACATAGTGCATGCATTTTCAATTGATTTTAAACTGATTTTTTTTTTTAAATATGCTACTGTATGAAGTTATTTTAGAAGTTGAATGTTTTTATTTTATATTTTCTTCTTTGTAAATGGGTTATTAGTATTTTATTAGTGACATTGAACTTGCCCTTTCACAAAAAAAAGAAAGAAAAAAGAGAAACTTTGATGAAAAGTTTTGATTTTGCTCCCAACAACATAATCCGAGTCACTGCTCTGGAGAGTTTTTTTTTCAAACCCATATACACTAACCTAAAGGCAGGGTGACTCTTTGCTCACTGACAGCACACACGCTTCAAAGATACACATGCACAAATTTAAGGTGTATTTGTTTCTGATTTGTTCACCAGCTGAAAGGAGGGGAGAATTATGTACCTCCCTTGCTCTCACAGGGCTACTTTTTCTTCTGTTTGTACCTGAAATGCAAATCTGAGCATCTACCCAGTGCTGCCTGCTTGTCCTCTCAGGTCCCTCTGTGCCCCTCATCAGTGCTACCTCGCATTATTCCACTGACAGTCTCTGTTAATGATTCTCTTGTTGTTTTCTGCACCACATTCTCACCAGTAGGTACGGTCAGAAGTTTTTCTTCTTTTAATCTGCATTATTTTTTGTGAAGACGATCCCTTGCTGCACAGGCTAACTCTGTTGGCTGTTTTTATGCTTGAAACTGCTCACCTGGAAAACACCGGAATCATGAAGTGTCACGTCTGATTGTTAATGCCTGAATATTTGAGGCTGTTCTGCTCCCTTGTGACTTTTCTGCCTTTCAGTGCATATATATATATATATATATATATATATATATATAATTTTTTTTTCTTTGCATCTATGAACGAGTGCAGACTTCGAATGCTTGCACATACTCACAAGCTGCTGGGTCATGTTTAGGATTCTAGGATGTTGAACTGTGTCAGTCTGTTTCTTTACCTGACTTTTGATTTCCCCCACCCGTCCACACACACATAAAAAATAATTGTCTTGCATCTCAGGAATGAATCACTTTGCTTAACTGATGTATAAGCCAAAAAGAAGAGATCTATGTATACGAAATATATGAATTTATTTTCTCTATCTTAATTGTATTTTATTATTATTATTATTGTTTCACTGGCACTCCCAAATTGAATGTAACCTTTTGCATGACCGTACAATACTCTCTCTGTCAGATAAGAAGTCCCCCGTTGACCATAAGTAGCAACTGAAAAAGGATGCACGGCAACTGGAAATTAAAGGTGTAGTTCTGTGTTTGTCCAGTAAACACAACAGTATTTGAAATATTTCTTTTCCTTTTTTTAAAAAAAACAAAACTTTTTCTTTTGCCTCACTTTCTTTCCTGTTTTAGAAATCTCAAGCTACATGGACAGTCTTGTGCTATGTCTCTCATTATCATCACTTCTGAGCTTTGTTTCACTGTAGTCTGTGTATTTTTTAACGATATAGATGGCGCTGTGTGCTGTTTTATGTACGTACCCTGTTTGTGGTTTGGGTTTATGACTTGGAAGTTTTCCAAGCGAAAAAGCTGTTGGGTTGAAAAGAAGGAAATAAAGTTTTATAAATAATTTGAATTCAATCTGTAGGAATACTTTGAATTTTAAATGTCTTGTGCTAAATATGTTTTGTATGTGCAAATATACAGAGTAAAACAAGTAATATGTAATAATATGCAGTACAACATGATATCAAAGTGATGGACTAATCGATATTCGATGAGGCCTTCCATATGGAGAAAACAAATCAAAGTAATTTATGCCAGATTAAGAATGTGAGCTGAAGTCATCACCAAAGAATCTTGATTCTTGACATTGAATTAAACGACTAAAAAACTGTACTTTAAAAGTACATGCCTAGCTATTTGCATGAATATATTGACTATTGCACGAAGCATACCACTGTGATTTAAAGTTTTACACGTTTCTCCGCCAGGCAGTTGTTTCCTACCATAAATTATAATTCACCCACACTGCCTGTGAAGCTTTTGAATGATGTTAAGCTGTTTTCCAACGGTGTTAACAGGCTTGCAAACTGGAGCATGGAGAATTCAAAATGCTTTTCATATTGCACAATGAAAAAATACGTGGCATTGGGCCAACGATAAATACAATTAAAAACATGAGATTCACATTCAGTTATTTTGAATGATCAACTCTAAATAGTATAGAAACGGAAAGCTTATTGGAAAAATAATAGACCATTTGTCAAAAGTCAGATCACCCCTGATCTGGGGCAGGCCTAGAATGTCCCATCCCCAGTGCCACCATAGTTTTGCATATGACAATACTGGTTATTAAAATAAGCTAGAATTAATACTTTGAGCCTAGCTGCAATTAACGTTGACTTATAGATACTAAAACTGAATATGTTGCATAATATAATTTGCATAGCAACCAAAATTGCTTTATTTTCTTGCTTTTAGCAGCAACTGACACCTCTAATTGTCCCTGAGCACAATTTGAATCAATAACATTTGAGATTTCAACACAGGTGGTTGATTGTTACACTGGAAATGCTATGAAGGTGAGTCTTACGTAACCCAGTAAATCATGAAAAATGAGGTTTAAATTTCTGTTGGAAAAATACACCCGTTTCTTCATGAAAGTGCAGATTTCTGACATTTGGTGTAACAATTTGATTATTACTAAAGACTTTTTACTGATCCATCTCACGTGTAGCTTTCTGGATTTCACACTTATTTGGCTACATGCTTATTTATTATATAGGCTATACAGTACATAAAATCAAATTTGGCATTTTTATGTAACTGAAATATTATTTGGGCCAAAGCCAGTAAGAAAGTTATAGACTATGTCTATATGAATGATGTGCATACTTGCTGCATTTGTATTTAAACCGTATTTGATACATATTATAGAATGTAACACCAATGTGTAAAGAAATGGCTTTGAGTTGGCCACCCCATCTCATTTCCATGCCACCCTAAGAAAGTATCTCTAGATCCACCCTGGTGTCTTCCTCTATTTGAAAGGAAATTATTTCACATGCTGGGAATCTATATATCAGCTCGTTTCTGCCATCTGGTGGAGGCAGGAAACGTGGCTTTGTGTGGTTTTTTGCTAAATTGTCACTTATCTGGTTTGTGTCATGCCTAGATAAGAGATACATTATTTTCCATGGAATTCAGTAAAACTTAACCACATTCTGCCCATTTTTTTCTATTGCTTTTTATTTAAACAAATAAACAAACAAACTATTATTATAGCGCAAAGGCTTGATTTTGCATATGAAGACTCAACAGACTCAAGTAGAAGTTTTCCTGTAGAAATTGGGCCTAAAATAATTTACAGTACAGAAGGGACTATAGAACAACTGCAGGTAGGTCCATAAGTTTAATGTACAGGGCTTTACTTTCTGATTAGTTTTCCAAATCCTGCAAAACCGACAGATATTGATAGAAATTGGATATTATTTGAAGTCACAACCCAGTGAAGCATGCTTAGTTACTGTAGACAAAACTGAACGTTGACTGGAGGCGTCTGCAGCAAAGGCCCGGCAGAACATGTTAAAGAAGACACGGCATTTGATGATAACCATTGATCGTGGTCTTCAGGCAGTCATTAATTGTAAAGGATTTTTTATCAAATATTGAAAAAAACAATCCTTATTTAAAAACTATATTTTACCCAATTAGTACTGAACCTCGTAGTTAAGGGAATTAGGCATTATAATGGCTGCATAATGCAATATTGTTTGATTTCAAATTCACTGTAGTGGTGTACAGAAGAAGAATTCCCCCCAAAATGATACAATTAAATAAATTAATAAATACTGAAGATAGAGAAAGTGAGATATATGAAATTATGCTTTTATAATTAGGCTACAGTAATTATGCTGTGTCCATTTGCAATGAAAGTAATAAAATATATATGATATGTCAGTTTTGAGGGCGCAGACTGTTTTGTAGGTCAACCGAAAAATAATATACTTTTAAGGTGTGGTTATCTCCTGATGCTTCGATGTGTGCTCAGTCATCCAGGTGAGGAAATCCCAAAAAGTTGATTCTGCTCTGCTCATGAAAGGATGATAGTTTATTTTCCATCTATAGTTGTGTAACTATACACATAGGTATAAGTTAGCACACTTTCTGAGTTAAGGACATAATATATATATATATATATATAAATCTTGACCTTGTAAATTGTCACTGTGTCTCCTTTCTGTGATGTCCTAAGTGAGCCTAACATGAGGATGACAAATTTCATGACACATATATTAAAAAGCATGAATTCATGATTTTAACAGCAAATCATTTGAGGACAGTCAGCTAAAATTAAACAAAACTAGAAACTTTTCAAAGAAGCAGCTGTTAGCCATATTCTGTACTTTAATATCTCTATCTTTATTCTAACTTTTATGAACCAAAATAAAGAGCCACCACTAGATGTCAGCAGAGTCCACAGGATCAGAAAACGGCCAGTGCTTGTTGCTAAATTTCAATTGAAAAAGTGTAGATTATTAACAAAGCTTATTCATGCAGACTGATATCTTTTCACTGGAAAGGTGTACGTGTTGATGGCTGGGGTCTTATTCATAGCACTGAGCTGGCTTCTTTTCACATACAAATATGGTCATAGTGCAAAAGATCTTTTTGCATCTAAATAATGGCTCCCATTGGCCTGTGGGATATTCAGGTATTTTTAGGTGTCCTGTATATTTGGTAACCTATCTTCTGGTAATCCCGCCCCTTCCATCCCTGTCACCTTCACTTCTTTGCTACTGTTAGCATGCCCTTTTCCTGTCTGAATACCATTTCTGAAGATCCTGGTACACTGATGTCTGATTCACTCCTGGCATGCATGCTGTTGATGTATATAGGATGTTCTCTTCAGAACCTGTATCCATATCCACATTTTCAATAATCTGTCTTAAGAGGTTCTTGTCTTGTGCCTATGATGGATAAAAAGTACAGCTTTTTCTTTTGAAGCACATAGCAGAATTGCCAAAAGAAAAAAAATACTGCATGGGTTGATTTCACCTGATAAGGTAAAAGACTTTCTTGTCCATTGTTGCTTCTATTCACATTATCAGGCAGCGTAATCATTATGCTGTGTACAAAGAGTATTTCAATTATTTACTGTCTAAGATTAAATCATAAAAAATTGTCCTCAAAATGGGGCCAAGATTAGGCCACTGTCAGTGGGTTACATTGAGCTCAGTTTCCCCCATTATTCAGAGGAGTCATTATCTAATGATCTTCTGATTTAATACTTTGTGAACACAGCTGGTCATTAAATTGCTACATCACTACAATGCACATAATGATATGGGTATCTGCAACGTTTTGACAAGCACTACAAATAGACATATAGTAAAGGCTAGTGAACTGAAGATGAGAAACACATCTGATAATAGATCACCGCAGAGCAAGAAACTCTTCTTCATGAGCAATGAAGTCAGTTCTTCAGATTGTGAAAGTGAAGTTGATGATGCATCGGAAGCTCAGGCGTCAAAGACGACTTTAAGGTTGACTTTATTCTAGCCAAAAGATGTGTATCATTCACTTCAGCTCGCACACTGATGCAACTGATAGCTGATCAGGCATCAACAAGCGCTGCCTTCGTAGCAGATCAAAAGATGTTGTTGTAGAGAAGTAATCTTAACCAAGAAATGTTTAGAGCTGAGATACAAGAAGCAGCAAGCTGTACATCCATGCTGCCTCGGGTGAGCAAGTGCAACATTAGTCAAAAAGTTGAACTAGTCCACATTTTCCATTTTTAGCATTTTATGTAAACTTCTGCACACATGGTACTCTTTCTATAATTGTTGTAGTCATGAATTAGCAATCATTGTAGTCTGTGCAAGTTATCTATACAGTAAGATGTAAGCTGGCTGTTTACCTCTGGAGAAAGAATCTTCACTTTGCAGAACAGTGTGTGAAAATATGCAAGAAACATCTACATACATGGCAAAAATAACACAAATGGTCCTCTGCCTAACTTGCCCCAGTCTCTCCTCGCCCTGTCGTGGGAACTACCACAAACATGTTTTAAATATGCTGCCAGCTGTTTATTTTTCCATCTGTCAGTTTGATGAGTTTGTCAACACAACAGCGTCACTTTAAGATTGTGTAGTGTGTAGTTGACATGAAGCTTGGTCATTGGCATTTCAGCTGGCTAGTTATCTGACTTATCTCTCTTTTGACTTTGTCCTTAAAAAAATCAATTGGAAGTGCACAATTAGTGTGTAGAAAAAAAAAAGCAAAAAAAAAAAGCACAGTTCTAAAAAGCGTTTCTAATGTTCATTCTTTTATTTGTGGTTTCGATTCCTGATTAACCAATTATCACATGTGCTAGCACAGGAAGTGGTGACAAAGATCAGGAAGACACACCCTCCACTCCCCATCTGTGAACATCGTGAACTTCCTCTATAGACAGTCATCGCTGATATTTAGAGTTCTCATTTCTCACCATATACTAATATATGCCTTGCTCTTGTGGTTTCATTTAAATCTCTGAGAAGGCGACTCCTCCCGGCACTCAGGGAGGAGAGAGCCGTTAGATGCTTGCAGGTACGGCAACGGCGATTTCATTGGCCTGAACCTGGCAGCTACTGCAA